CCCCGTAAAGCCCCCCCCCCCAGTTTTCCATACATTCCCACTGTATAGGTTAGTTCACTGGTTCTTAACCTTTGTTACTCGGATATTTTTGAACTGCAACTTCCCGAAACCCCAGCCAGCACAGTTGGTGGTGAAGGCTTCTGGGAGTTGCAGTCCAAAACTCCTGAGTAACCCAAGGTTAAGAACCGGTGGGTTAGTTGACATTTCGTGGCCACTGCGCATGTGGAAGCCTCTTATTCGGAATGCCAGATTTTCTTCAGTTTCTGTGAACCTTAATTACCCAAAGCCAGTTGGTGACTTTTTTGTGGTGTATGGATGTTTAAAGATGCTTACTTTGAGAATGAGTGTAATAGGTTGACTAGTTCAGCACCATCTGTTTTAAAAGATGACAAATAAAACAACCACAGTATAATAGGACTTACCTGGATCAACAGTATAAGCATCATACAGATGACTTGATTTGACTTCCTGTGTCTTTTCTTCACAGCTGTATCTCACCTTTGAAGTACTACAGTGATTTTAGGCCTTATTTTACAATACATGACAGTGAATTCAAAGAATATACCACTCGTACACAAACCCCGTAAGTAAGGTGAACTACAATTACTGGTTCATTTAGAGTAATTTTTCAGTCATAATTCTGACTTGAGAGAGTATTGTGTGCATCTCTACTAAGATGGATGTCTCATTAGGTTCAATGGGACTTAATCCTGATCAAGTGCATGAAGGACTGCAGCCTTAAAGGAATCAAGAATATGGTAGATACTTCGGCTTTGGAAATCTTAACCAAAGGCTTTGTCCTTCAGTCCTACAGCTCTGCAGCAGTTGACTACATTGAGTCCAGTGTTCAAAAACAGGAAATAGAAAGCAGCTGATTTCTTGATATAACTTTATTATCTTCTACTGTACAGAACTTACAATAATGGGAGTTCTGTGTACATGGCTACTGTGAAATCCTTTATTTAGATCAGGGATACGCAATCTCAACAGGACTGAAAACCACATATCAGATTTATCTGTAGCCTGAGGGCTGCATTCTGAAAAGTATAGAGGTGAGGGGCCATGAACCTAATCAAACTAATATGCATTTTTTAAAAAAAATAGAAATGTGTGTGGTGGTTATCTACCATGAAGGTTGCAACAATTGATTATTGTTAACTGAAAAAACCTTTCAATTAAAAAGGTGGTTTTTCAGTGAATTTTTTTTAAATAAAAATAAAAATTTGAGAATCTCTAGGGGTGCCGGGGTGCCAGAGCAAACTGTTCCCTAGAACAGTGGTGCCCAACCTTTCCTGAGTCGCAGACTGTGGGGGTGGGGTGGGGTCTATTCACAGGGTGACCCCCCCATGCTCGTGGAGGGGCAGGGCACGGAGGGGTGGAGCGTGTTCATGGAGGGGTGGGGTGTGCTTGCGCGCATGTATAAAGGGGTGGAATGCGCTTGTGTGCTTGAGTGAAGGGGCAGGGTGCGCTCATGGGTGGGCAGGGCACCCATGCATGCAGGTGGCAGGCTGTGCATGTGGGGTGGGGGGAGAATGTGCACAGGGGGGAGATCTGTCTCCGCAGCCCGGTCCTCCCATGGCCATGGACGCTCACCAGGCCGCAGACCAGGGGTTGGGGACCCATGCCCTAGAGAAGGCCAATGGAGGACTTCTGAGCAAAAAAAATATATGTGGGGAGGGCTCAGGAATGCTAAGAGGTTATAAATGGACTTACGGCTACATGTGATCCATCCTGATTTTAAGTAAAAATTCTTACCTATAATAAAAGTTAGAATGTCAGTAATGACACCTTGGGCCCTTTTTAAAGAGAAAAGTAGGGTAAAAATTTTGCGTACACATATACATATATGTACTCTCTCTCTCTCTCTCTCTGTCTCTGTGTGTGTGTTCATGTATAGTTATAGAGGGGCATGATAATGCATTAACCCTGTGTTTTTGCTGCAGTATTTCCTTCCCCTATAGTAAATTGATGAGTAAGACTGACTGCCTGAGCTTGACTGGTCCGTCTCAAAAATGTGCAGCAGCTTATGTTGCAACTGTGCCATTTTAAATTCCCATTTTAGCAAGAACATAATGTGCGTGGGGGTGGGGACATCCAAACATAGGAAATAAACCATCTTTGTGAGCAATTTATTTTTAGAATTTAAATGGTGTTATCCCAAACAAGTCTTGCCGAAACAAAGCAGTGTTTGGAATGATGACCCATTCTGGTGCAAAAGATCAGTTTATCATATTTCAGATAGTTTGCTGCCCTCCTCTGTGAATTCTATTGAATATTTTATATTTGGGTCTAAGTTTCCCTGTTTTATAAGCAAAATTCTTTAGCAGTGTCTGTTTTAAGCTTCACTAACCTAAAAGTCAGAAAAATTTTTATGCTTTTATTTGGATCTCTTTGGAATGCTGTCACTTTAAAAAGTTTACAGTAATGTAGTCTTTCCAAACATGGTCTCTTTCAGAGAACTTAGTCTTAGTTGCCACCTGTTGGTATGGCCAGTTGTGAGGAATGTTGGCTGTTCAAAACATCTGAAGAGCAGTAGGTTGGGTAATATTAGAGCAGTGAACTGAGAGATTTAAGAAAGACATGTTAAAGTTCTAAAAATCTAAGAGGGAAAAACAAATCAGAACTTGAAGGATACATGGCCAAACATAAATTCATAAGCGACAGTTCAACATTTTGGAGCTATATACTAGTGTATATGTGCATGTTTGTTTTGTCCTCTGGTCCTAGTTGTTCCCCAATTTTGCTTGGTCCTTTAGAAATCCCAAACAGTCCCCTAACCTCCATAGGGTTAGGAGACTGTCTAGGAGACCATAAGAAATTACCCAGAAAGTTGCAAGGGGAAATTAAAAAACCTCTCATTTTCATGAGCATGAGAATTTTTCTGGGTCACAGATCCTTATAGGAATGAAAGGGACCCTAGTGTGCACCACAATCCTCAGTATGCCATGAAAACACCTCTTTGTATTCTTTTTTTTTCCAGCAGAATTCTTCCTGAATTTAGCAATGTTGAATCTATGGCTAGATTACAGATCTCACGAAAGCGTCTTCTACATTTCAGGCCTTCTGTCATTCTGGGAGTAACAAATCCTTTTTTTGCTAAAACACTGCAGCACTGGCCACACATCATCCGAATAGGAGACCTCAAATTGTCAGGTAAAACAGCAGTTCTAAAGTTGACAGAGAATAATAAAATACAGGTGGTCGCAGATAGCAATGTGAGCAGAAGCCCTTCATCAGACTCACATCTTTATAATGTGAAAGAGTGAGTATTTATACCATTATCCAATTTAAGGCAGCACCATATGTAGGTGCTGGGAATCCATCCTGAGGCTTAGGCTGTGGCGTTCTTTGTCCCCCTGCAATGGGGTAAATGGTAACAAATACCATTGATCTGTCGAGCCAAGTATTGTCTGCTCCTGTCTTCTCTGTCTTGTTGCCCTACAGATATGCTAGGCTGCAACTCCCATTGTTGCAAGACTGCATAGGTATGTGAAGGCTGCTCAGTCTTGGGTAGAGTTTCAGCCCTCCTGACTCAGAACCCTTCATGAAGAATAAGGCAACTTCAGAGGGCCTGCAGTCAGTTTTCTATACCCATAACCTCCTGAAGGCCACACGAGTCCACAAAATCAGGAAAATTACAAATAAACTAAAACCAAATGTTGCTGTAAGTCCACTTCCACTCTGTTCTTTCATGGATTAGGTGAGGGTTCTTGTGACCCAAACTGCACCTCATTTTGTTGCAGATTTATTGAAGGTTGTTTTGTGTTTGTGTTTTTGGTTGGGGCTCATCTTGGGTTTACAAAAGCAGCTTTGAGGGCTGTGTGTCCCTCTTTGTCCTTCTCCTGCTTTAACTGGAGATAACCAAGGGTTAAAACTATGGCCTCATAGATAAAGTGTTCATGGCCTACTATTGATAAGTGAGGTATGTGTGAAGTTTGCCATGAGAAGTCCTTGGATGGCGGGGACCTCCTCCCACCCAGGCTTGCCATTCTGTTAGGTCTTTAGTGTGTAGGCAGTGAAAAAAGGAAAGTGATTGATGCAAGTTAGTAAATTGCCTTGCTGAGCGAACAGTTATATAAGGCTGCATTCTTAGAGATAACAAACTGGAACTGTAAAATATGTTTGCTTTTTAAAATCCTGGGCTTTTTGAGACAGATGTTTGTTCTGAGATATAGAAACAATGGTTAAAAAACAATCTTTCATTGTTTTAGACAATATTGAAAATTTTTAACTTTCTGTAACTTGCTATTTAAGTAGCACACTGCATTTTAAAACTTCATATACTCAGTCTTATAGTTTTTTGGAGACAGAATCTGTTCACTATATGCTTACATGTGTGTGAATGAATATATTGACACTCCTGCTCCACTGTGTACATGCAAAACCATTTTAGGCCTAGGATTTTAAGGCCATGTGCTGGCCTCTTAAGATCCTAGTACCTGTCTCATGTGCCATCTCTTTATTATGGCAGGTGAAATTCCAAAGCAGGTGAAAGTGAAAAAGCTGAAAAACCTAAAGACTTTGGATTCAAAACCTGGTAATAACTTTCATCCTTGCAAACTTACTAGTTGCTATATATTCTTGTGGGTCAAAATTAGAGAAAACCCCTATTTTCTTTTTAGGTGTTTATACATCTTATAAGCCATACTTGAACAGAGATGATGAAATCATAAAACAGTTACAAAAGGTAATATTTGAGAATATTTGTTGAGGCACTGTATTAACAGAGCTAGGGAGGGGGAAGGAAATTTATGGAATGTACTTCTAAAAAAAGCCCACAGATTTTTATCCTCTTCTTTAAGGGAAACCATTTTCTTCTTCCTGTTCTCTTTTGTGCAAAATGGTCTTTCTACTTAATTCTCATACATGATACTTATAAACCTTAAACATGCTCAGTATAAGTCCAGAGAAGGCGACTAACCTATGCTGTGTACCCTGTTACCTGCATATTGGTACACTTCTTTGGATTTATTCACTGGCATTGGTACTGGTATGGTATAGTTGAGTATTGAGTTATCCCATGTTTTCTCGTAACAGTCTTGATGAAGCAGGCGACCATAAGCAGAAACTGGTTAGAATCCTGTGGCTAAGCCTAGTTAATTGAACTAAAGTAGACCCATTGAATTGATAGGGAGTTGGTGAGTCAGTTTCTCCATATGTTCCATGGATCAAAAAAACCCAGCTCTACTTTACTTGCAACTTTTAGTTGTAGGAAGTTGTAATTATAGTAGGAGCATTTGAATCAATGGAAATTAGGGCAGAGTTGAATCATCAAATGTCCACTGATTCAGTGGGCTTACTCTAGTGGAACTTACTAGGCTTAGCCACAAGATTTCATCCACTGTTTTCACTGTGCTGCACCATGTTTCAAGAAAGATATGTTCTGTAAATGCATTTTTTGTTCTATAGGTTTAATGTTAAATAGGTTTCATGATTCCAAATAAGCTGTTGTTACTGATGGAGATTAGTAAAGGAATCATTAAGAGAAAGCCTATTACATCTTGTATGCAGTAATTCATGGAGTGTGACTACAACATGTAGTTTTCAAGAAAGTCAGTTACTTTTTCCAATGTTGTTTTTAAAAAAAGGGAATACAGCAGAAGCGCCCTGCAGAAGCCCAAAGTATAATCCTTCGCCGTTACTTCTTGGAACTGACTCAGAGCTTCATTATTCCTCTTGTAAGCTACCATGAAATTTGCAGATCTTTGTAATTTAAATGTGATTAATATTAAAAGCTTAGTGGTGTTAGTATATTGTTTTTTAAAATAGGAATTTAGTGTCGAATCTGTTTAAGAAGCAGAATAGTTCCATTAGCGTAGTCTAGTGTAATGAACAACTAGGTATTTTTCGCTCTATAACCAATCATTGTAGTCTGCCCCACATTTCTGCTGCATCTACCTTGTTTTCTTGTCCCAGTGTGCATCACTTTCCTGTCTCTAAGGTATTTGAACCATTTGAAAATTCTGAATATGTTTATATATTTCCTCCAGTTCTCTTGCTTAGTTCTGGATGAGTCTACTGATGAAATATAGAAAGAGCAAGCGGCAGGGACAAGCATCTGCACGCAACATCATTGGTTAATGACACTGATGTTGTCCTTTTTAAGGGGCAGATTTGTTTCAGAGGCTTTTGGCTGCTGATCAGTGATATGTCACATATTACTCTTCTTTGTATCACTACCCTAATTTCCTCTCTTGCTGCTACCACCATGTGTCAGACAAGGCTAATTTTTTATTAGCTAAGTTTAAACTTTTTATTTTGGAAGTTTTAAGGTAATTTCAGATGTCTGAAGTTTTATTTTCATTTTAAGAGTAGTTAGACAACACTTATCTTAGTGTCAAGACATTAACTCACTATAGCAAAAATCCATATAGAAGGCAATCAGAAAGGAAGCATATACTTACTTGGGTCATATTGAAATGGTGCAAAAGTATATATGCTTTTAAGATTCTGCTGAGTGGAAAGTCCTGATAGCATAGAAATACAGGATTGTGCCACTTGCACAAGCGGTACTATTGTACAAGTGGCAATTTCATGAAGAAAACCCACCGTCCACTTGTACAACAGTAATGCTTGCGCAGACAAGTAACTCCCTGTTACTACACTAATGAGTCATTCTATTCAGTGGAAGCTCAGTAGAATATTGTCTGCTATTTTTAAAAAAATGCTTTTATTGGGTTGATAACCATCTGTTGCAAGTTGTGCATTGGCAGTGAGGTCAGGCATTAATACATGAGACGTACACATTTGTCGGAGCACAGGGTCCATTTTGAAGTTGTAGGTCTTTTGAAGGAGAAATCTGCAAAGGGTATCAGTTGGGGAGTGAGTGCTGTTTCTCGATTCCAGCAATGAAAGGTGATATGAGAATTCAGAGCTGCTACATTCACCTGTAGCAGTTCGGGCACTCACAGACCCTCCAGTTAAAAGCCAGTGGGAGTTGTGTAATATAGATGTACGTCAGCATAATAAAAAAGATTCTTCTAATCGGTTTACTTTTAAATGCCAAATGGATTGTAATTTTGGGCTTGTCTGGTACTGTACAAGATTTCGTTTGTATATGTGACTGTGTTTAATCTGTCATTTTTCAGGAACGATATGTAGCAAGTTTGATGCCTTTGCAAAAGAGCATATCACCCTGGAAGGTGAGAGTATCTTTCAACAGAGCATTTGTTTAAGAAACAATTTGACTCTTTTACTAACAGCTATATTTTTTTTGCAGAGTCCACCACAGTTGAAATCATTTAACCAAGAAGAATTTATGAAAACACTTGAGAAAACAGGGCCTCAGCTTACATCTAGATTAAAAGGAGACTGGATAGGACTGTACCGGTAATTTATCTTAAGATACCTGTATTTCTGAGCAATTTTTTTTTGAAAATACATTAAAACCACCAAAACAATCAACCCCCCAAAAAAACTTTCTGTATGCTAACAGAACTGGTATGCAGGGCTATTATTTTATGGTTGCCCTAGCTCATGGAAAGAACAGGTAACTTCCACTGTTCTATGTTTTCATAGAATATTGCTCATCTGTGTTTCTTTTTTTTTTTTAAAGATCATTGGTGTTTTTATGATAATATTAATAACATTACATTTTATCATGTGCTATGCTACACAGCTGGAAATTCAAGTCATCCACTCTCTCTCAAACTTCTACATGGCAGGCTTTCCTTGTTTATAATTTGGGAATGAGATCAGCCAGTGACTTTGCAAAAAATAAAATAAAAAACCCCCAATGAATCCAAAGATGACCTAACATACAGGTGTCCCAAATTTAAGTTAAACATTATTAATCTATGCTAATACATCTGACTCTATGCATTTGTGGCTTATAGTTTCATGTACATTTCACATAGTAGCCAGTTGTGACATTTATGCTCAGAATGAAAGCAGACAGTTATGGATATGAAAGAATTAATTTTGTCCCTGTCAGAAAGAACTATTTTAATATTGAAAGTAACAAATTGGTGTATTTTTATTTATCTTTAGTAATTGCATACTCATGACTGACAACCTATTGACATGAGACAGAATAGACATACAATATTTTAACATAAAGATTTTAAAATAAATGTTTATGGCTAATTACAATGGCTCACTATTAGTACTGGTTACATTTATTTTTAAAATATGTTTTTCTAGAAAGCAACGAATTCCCACAAGATTCCAGTGCATTCTGCTAATATAACTTATTTTTCTTTTTTATCTTAAAGGCATTTTTTGAAATCTCATAACTTTGATGGTTGGTTCAGGACACGTCGCAAAGAAATGACTCAGAAGCTGGAGGCACTGCATTTAGAAGCATTGTGTAATGAGGTTAGAATGATGACTTTGCCCTAAATCTTGCTTTTTAAACTTCCCTTTGGATTTTTAAAATATGAAACTCAATTTATATCTGAAAGCAAAGTATATGAGATGCTCAAAGAGTAGCTTACCATTGCTGCCTCCTAGGGAGTTTCTGTGGCTAAACAGGAATTAGAACCCCGGTCTTTTGAGTCCTAATTTGACACTTTATCTGCATCACCCTGCAATGGTTAGGATATATCAGGGATTTTTCAGTTCATATTGTGAACAGGGATGGTCACAAATTGGCAGCTTATGCCATTTCATTTTTTTCTTTGCAGAACAGGGTGTGGTGCTTCTGAGCCCTGCCTCCTCTGGCAAGCACTCGCTCAAGAGGCAATGCCTGGAAGAGGGAGGGCCAGGAAGCCAGAGTGCTCTCTCTTTCTGAGTGGCTGTCCGCTGGAGGAAGTGGGGCTGGGAAGCACCGAACACCTGTTTGGCAGAAAAACAAACCAGCATGAACTGCCAAGCCAACAGTTCGTGCCTATCTCTAATTGTGAGTAATAGCGACTTTACTTTTCCATCCTGTTTTCTTGTTTCACTGTTTTGTTTTTACTTTTTAAATATTGTTTTCTGGGATGTTTCTGAAGGGCAGTATATAAGTAGTAAGAACGAATAAATAAAGTACAGTGGTGCCTCGCTTAATGGGTGCCCTGTTTAACGACGAATCCGCATAGCGAAGAAGATTTTGTGATTGCTTTTGCGATTGCATTGTCATGTTCCCTATGGACCTTCCGAAGCTCCCGCCGGTCAGCTGGGGAAAATGCTGGCGGGCACTCGGGAGGAGGGCGGGGGAAGGCTGTGTCCTGCCTGAGTACTGGCCCCATTTTCGGCCAGCTGATCGGCAGTTCCAAAATGGCCGCCGCAACAATTTTCGCGCGATTTCCTCGCTTACCGAGGGCGCGAAAATGGCAGCGCTATGGAGGATCTTCGCATAACGGAGTTTTCACCCCATAGGAACGCATTAAATGAAGTTTAATGCATTTCTATGGGGTTTTCCCACCCGCATTGCGATGTTTCCGGATAGTGACGATTAATCCGGAACGGATTAATGACGCTATGCGAGGTACCACTGTAATTAGTAACCCGATAACAGTCAAACATATTCACTCTGAAAGTTCTGATGTTTGCTTATGTAAAATGTACTATTTTTATTTTATTTTGAGAGCCATATACTGTATAATGCATTGAAGAAATTTGCATGAAGATCCAGGAATATGACATTTGCTTTCTGTGTTAAGTCACAATTAGTTACAGTTCTGACTAATTGTTAGGTGTATTCTTTCTTTAAAAAAATAGGACTTGCTTCTCTGGAGTCAAGAACACACTGAAGTGGAAACAGTGGACCTAGTATTAAAATTAAAGGATAAATTGGTATGTTGATAAGAGTATTCAGAACATTGTTTTTTTCCCCCCTTACCAATGCTTGCATGTCTTCTGTCATTCTAATGACTCTGGGTGAGGACCATCTACTGTTGCTCTAGTTCTGAAACTCAGGGTAACCCCCTTCCAGGGTGTATAAAGAGATTCCAAGGAAGCCTCAAGGCTGGGAGATTTTCTTTGTCTCACTAAATTCATTTTGTCTCTATTGTTTCTTAAGGAAAATTACATTTAATAAAGTTTTGCCGCAAGAGAAATATGTGCTTATTTTTAGTTTAAAATACTTTTAGTATATGTTTGTCTTTATGTTTCATTTTAAATGACAAGTTTTTGTTAAAGGAGATATTTTGCAGGTACAAGGGAGGTGAGGAGACATTTCTCAAAAATCAAGAGGGGTGTGTGATGCTGAAAAGCACTGGGAAGTGTTGTGCTGATGGGAGCATTTCAGTTTTCTAGAAGGATTTTGAGATGCTTCCCTTTCTCCCCAAGTTTTATTGCTTAGCCTGTGCTTCGAAAAAGGACATATTTGGCCATTCTTCAAAAGAATTCTAAGGTGGTCAAAAGCTGATACTCAAAGTGGCCAAAATCTTTTGAGCGCCCCTGGTATTAAGGGAAAATAGCTATTTAAGTAAGTTCAAGTGTAGCTTTTCTAGGAGGTAGGATTGCCCTCCACAGAGAACCTTGGAAACTATAAGCATCTGTAGGGTTCATGCTGTGATTAAAGCTGGGGGAATGTCCAAGAGGCAATCTAGAATATTTCCAGACAGATAGGATGAGTGTGAATCTTACTAAGGTTTTTCCTTAGCTGGACCGCAGGACTACCGTATTTTTCACTCCATAAGAAGCACTCCCCCCCCAAAAAAAGTGGGGCAAAAAGTATGTGCATTTTATGGAGCGAATACACTTCTGCAAGGGCTTCTTTCCCCAAGCCATCAGAGACCTCCTCGGGGTCCCCTGCTGCCGCGATTGGACCCCCAGGAGGTCTCTAAGGGCTTTCCCCTGACATCAGAGGGAGGCCCTTGCAGACCTCCGAAGGCAAAAAAGCAGGGGGAAAGGACGGGAGATTCTAATTTTTATAGGCTAATGTAGAATTGCCATATTTTTCGCTCCATAATTAGGTGCTTCTTATGGTCAGGTGCATCTTATGGAGCTAAAAATACGATAGTTTGGCATGAGGACAAATACCCATGGATGGTCTCTCCCTGCCTACCAGGTAGAAGAGAGGAATAACGTACTTAGCCAGAATTATTGGGGCGTGCCATGGAAGTCTTAAATTGCTGCACATGTGCATACACTCCTCATATTTTACTAGAAAAGGGTAACAATAGTAAATAGAGTGCTGAGAATCTCTGTTCTGTTCTCCACCGAGACTGGGAGAACTATGACTACAAAGAGAAATTATGCTTGTCCTGATAGTCCATATCCCAAGAGGTTCAGTCTCCTTCCTATTCATCATTGTTACTATAATCCTATACACCTTTCTTCCTGGCATCTTCTTGTGTTTATATAAGGCTTCTTTTGTATGTGGTGGCTCATTCTGATTGGCCCATGAATATACTTGTTGCATTCCAGCTGTTCTAGATAACTTTTTTTTGACACATTAAAATAGGAGGGTGTATCACCATTGTACTACCAGCATTTTCTTTAATCTGTAGGTGATATTCAGGAAAGTTGATTCCAGAATAATATGTTTGTTATTAGCTCCCTCTGCTGCTTCTATGCAGATATGGATGGTTTCTTTTGTCAACATTCTTGAGGGAAATATTGTAATTGGGGATTTTTCCCAAAGTATTTAATGGAACTGAGGAAGCGGTAGTATGGTGTCAGTGTCCAGGGAAGAAGAAACCCAACTTTGGTTGAAGTGAATGAAGTAGAAATTTCAGACAGTAACTGAGCCTGGGGATGTTAGGTATTATGTCTGGGACCTTTTGCTTAGGTTCATTTCTACTACTGAATTATGGCAATTTCCCAATTAGATGACCTATATACAGATACTACTTCTGCAGTATTTGTGACAGCAGTAGCCTTGTTGCTATGTGCTATCAATTTGTTTCAGAGTTATAGTAACCCTATAAATTGATACCCTCCTAAAGGTCCTATTCTTAACAATTCAGATTAGGTCTTCTGCAGTAAAAGCTGTGGCTGTATTTACTGACTCAACCCATCTCATGTTTGGTCTTCCTCTTTTTCTACTACCTTCAGGTCTTCCCAGGATTATTGTCTTTTCCAGTGGGTTTTGTCTTCATATGATACACCCAAACTACAACACCCTTAGTTTAGTCATTTTAGCTTTTAGTGAACATCCAGGCTTACGTATATCTACTTACGTATTTCTGAGTGTCCACTATTGATTCATTTTGAATGAATCTGTTTTTTTCTGGAAGCTTTCTTCATTGTCCAGCTTTCGTGTCTGTACATGATAATCTAGAACACTGTACCATTGAACAATATCCCAATGACACATCCTTAACTTGAGGATCTTGTTTAGTTCTTTCATACCTGTCCTTCCAAGTCTCAGTCTTGTTTGGATTTGTTTGTTGTTTCAGTTTCAAAATATGATAGAACTATAAAAACATAGAAAACTGTTAACAATTTAAATTGCTTCATTGTCAACATTAAAGTTATGTACTCTCTGTTTTCATAATTTTTGTCTAATATTCAACTGCAGTTCCGCTTTTTGAGTGTTCTTTCGTCTTCTTCAGTTGTCATTTCAAATAATTGTTGCATTCTTCCATTCATAAGGTGTAATTTGCATAGCTTAAATTACTTATATTCCACCAATTTTCATTCCTCCTCCACTTGTATTTAACACAGGTTTTCACATGATATTTTGTACGTAGAGGTGAAGCAGATAGAGAGATAAAATATACCTTTGTCTTGCACTTTTATGAATGGAAAACCATTCAGTTTCTTCATGTTCTGTCATAACAGTAGCTTTTTATAGAGTGCAGGTTGTGCATCAGTTGAATGTTGTGGAACACTCATGTTTTTTGAAACAGTTGATCCTTTTCATGATCCCACAGTCAAAGTCTTTAATATAAACTACAAAGCAGAAACTAGTTTTCTTCTAAAATTCTTCTTCTGCTCTAAGTAGATCCAACATATATATGCAATATGGTCTCTGGTGCTTCTTAATTGAATCCAGTTAGTATCTGGTTTTTTTGGTATACATATGGTGCAAATTATTAGTATCATTGTGCTTATATGCAAAATTAATGTAAAAGTTGTAGTTATGGCCTCCTTTCTTTAGGACTGTATGTTTAAGGTTTCAGTCTATAGCTCATTAATTTGTTGGTTTCATATCATTCCATGGGTTGTTCCCCTATTTAATTTCTGACTCCCAGGCAAAGTTCTCTGATGATGTTTGGTTCTGCTTTATTTCCTACCTTTGCATTCCAGTCGCCTATGATTATTAGCACATTCTTTTTGGTGTGTGATTAGTTTCCCCCTAGACACCTACCTAAAGGCTAAGGCTTATGTTGGGACTGGTGCATTTGGTGAGGGCTTGAGAGAGGGCCTTCTCTGTTACTGCTCTCTGGCTGTGGAACTCCCTCCCAAAGGATGCCAAGCTGGCCCTGTCTTTGTTATCCTTCTGCAAGTAGACAAATACTTTTCTCTTCAGGCATGCTTTTTCTCAGTAACTGGCTGCTGAAGAGGATGTTCTTTAAAATGGGACTGTTTTTTTTTAATATAGTTTGTTTTAATATTGTAAGCTGCCTTGGGTCCTATTGGGGAGAAAGATGGGATATATTTTACATAACTAACTGATGATAAATAATTATTGGTCTTATCATGAAGGCTAATTAATATTACTCTGATCAGATTTTGCCATGGGCCCCTGACTTCTAGCTTCAATAATAGTCACGGTGCTCCTGAGTTTGTCATTTTCATTGTGAAACACTTTGTAGTTATCTGATTGGAAATGTCCTGTTCCAGTTCACTTCAGTTTACTCACCCCAAATGCTACTGTATTTAAATATTTCATTTTTTCCTTTGTGATTTCAAGCCTGCTTTGATTCATATTTCTCACATTTTATGCTCCAGCTGCATATGTTGTGCAGTACTGAACCTTACTTTTGCCTCTGAGCACATCAGCAAACCAGATGTCCTTCTGGCTTTAATCCAGTTGCTTTTTAGCAACAGCAGGAGTCATGCACATCCTTTGCTCTCCCTCAGTAGCTGACTGAGGGCAGTCCAACTTGGAGTTTAACTTTTGAGCATTATTTATTGTTTTGTTTTGGATTGTCTCATCATAGGGTTTCAAAGTGTACCTACTATGGAATGTTTACCACCATCTTTTTCTGTGCCATACTAATGAAAGTTAGTTTGCGTGTCAGTTGTGTTATCTAAGAAAGATCCTCTGACAATATTCTCCCTGTAGTTGCCCTTGAAGAATTTATCTGCTGCCCATCACCATTCAACCTTTTGGTTCTCTTTTGCTGCATCTTAGTCCGGTACTTTACTTGGATCATTCCATCTAATGTGAACCTGCTGGACTCTAGCTTCCTAACAGTATTGTTCTCAGCTTCTCTGATCCACACATACCCCACTCCCCCTGTTAAGATGTCCATCCGAAACTTTAGAATTGTGGCCTCATTTCTGTGTTTAAAAAAAAAAAACTCCTCTTTGTTGTCTGCATACATGCCAGATATGGAGCAGAAGAGCAGTTGTGTAGCAGTGATATTTACTTGTACATTTGGTCATCTTAGAGTTTTCATACTGCCACTTTTTTAGTTACCATTTTTATTACTGCTTCTTTATTCCTACTCCTTTTTGCTTTTTTGTGTTTTCTGAGGGAGTATTTTTCATCTTTATGTTCTTGGTTTTATTATTTAAGTACAATTTTAAAAAAAATATTAAAAGAGATTATCCTGTACCAGGCAGACAATTTAACACCGATATTGTCATCACCTCCATTTTTGTTAGCACCTTTCTGTCCGTGAGATCTTTGGGTCTGATTGGAATTTCTCATATAATTCCAGGAAAAACAATAAAATATAATAAAAATTTCTCCATGAGAAAATAGTCATGGTCAGTTTAGAAATTCAGAGTAGCTATAAAAGTTCCTGTAGGGAGAGTAAATAATCTGCTGTATGTACAATAACCAGCATTAAGAGATGGCAATGTGGAGCATACTGGCGGAATAAGATTCCAACTTAAACATTTGCTAAACTCAGCTTGTATGAATTCTAAAAGTAAAGAGATGGTTGTTAATCTCAGTTATGGTATGTAAGAACTAGATGGTTGTACTAACAATATGTCTGATATATGAATGATCTGTTTTCGATTCTCTCCTGGTGACTTCTCATTGAATGTTGAATTCTCATGGATGCTTCAGAACTTCCACAGATGTTTAATAGCACTTTCTATGATTACAGGCTGATGGAGAAAATTTACCAGTGAAACCTGGCACTATGAAAAAGTTACAGATGCACATTGATGCCATTATACTTGCACAGCCAGAAGATTTACAGGGTATACTGACAAATACTGGTTCAACATAACTAAATTGATTTTTAACACAACTATACGGATTGCATCACACTTTTCAAACATACACAGAAGACCGTTGGAGAATCAAAGAACAGCAGCTGTAAAACATATATTGTAATGGAAATAGACCATGTTAGTATCTCTGAAAACTTTTAAAGATATCCTTGACGTTCAGCTTGAACAATAGGAGAATCTGAATGATTTTTTGTCAATTATGTTTTAAACTAAGTGCTCTTATTGTGAATCTGCATGCCTCTTGAAGGAACCCCTGCGTACAAGCCCATAATGCAGTGCAGGCACTGCAGAGCTTTGTTGACATTATGTCCAGCTGTATGAAACTCAGGGGAAGTAATGTTCCTGTTGGTTTCAAAGACTATCCTACTGCAGGTAGCAGCTAGTATCTCTCCAGCAATTTTCTTTTCTTTTGCCTCCCCATCCGCCATCAAAAGGCAGTCTACTAAACACTTTCAACTTACTTAAAATATCATGGGCCCGAATTGCCGAGCAGTTGTTCAGCAATTAGAGCACCCTGGTGAGCCAGTGTACTCCTCCTCCTCTTCTTCTTGCTCCTTTGGTTCAAATGGTACCTGTAGTCTTTCTGCTCTCTCTGTGGTTGCTGCCGGTAGAACATTTTGTTTAAATCAAAGATGGAAGTTATTGGTTGAATCCCAGTAGCCATAGCTTGTCCAGTTCAGAGATCATGGCAGGCCACCGTTGTCTTAATTTTGAGTTGCAGTGAGGAAGGAATGGGACACCCGGACCCAAAAGATTAGGACAGTTGTACTCCTATGAGGGTGTTCTTGATCACATCCTCTCTTAACAGTCCGCAAAGTGAGCAGATGGCTTGAGCTGTTTACAGTACAATGGTCCCTAAACTATTTATATAATAGATACTGATTAATTTAAGTATCAAATAATAAATACATTGACTTATGCTTTTTATTCAGATCGTCTGGTTTTTACTAGTTATTCGAAATGAAAACAATCAGTATAAATTCCTTGGGAGAAATTTGTCTTGATTCTCCCACCAACCAGCATATGTACTTTCAAAAATTTAGAATCAGATTAAATACAGTCTTATTATACATCTGAAATGTATCTGATCATGTTCAATTCATATTTTAATTTCTACTGTACTAAAATAAATAACTAAAACTTTTTATAAAATGGTGAAGTTCCTTCTAGAATATCTCCACTTCTCATTTCTTCTAAACCTCTCCTCAAAATTTACTTTTTTGGGATGGCTTTGGATCACCCCATAGTTCATATACTTTATTGTAACTCAGCCAAAGTATGTGTAATTGAAATAGTGGTGTATTTTTCCCATGCTTCCCATTTCCCTTGTGTTCCTTTGTCTATGTGTTTATTTTACAGTCCCTTAGAATAAACATCTGCCATACTATTTCTTTGTAAAGAGCCATGAACAGCGATGGTACTATATAAATAACAATAAACAATAGTGATAATTCAAAAAAATATCCATAGGCCATGCTGTTAAGATTTTTACAATAGAGCAGACTTCTATATTGAAACATATATGTGTCATGAGGGAACAGAAAAGATGTGTACCCATCTCTTGTGACATCATTAATAAATGTTTGGAGACAGGGTTTCCTCATGTTACATTTTTAAAATTGGGCCACCCATCCACCTTACATGTGAAAAAATGGGAGTTTCTTTTTCATGCACTGTTTCAAATACATGGGGCTGACCTGAAACAACAAGCTATGTCTTTTTGATTTTAGTGTGCTGGCTTAATACCAATTTACTCCAAAATAACATCTATCCCATACTTGCTGTGGGAACATTAACTAGCATTAAACTGTTGTCTGTCCCAATTTTATAAAGCTTTGTCATGTTTTATTTTAATTGCTTTTAATATACAAAGAAGAAAGAGGCTGTCTACTTGTCTGGAGAGTTTTTTCAGATCACAACAATATGTATATTAAAAGCATGCATTAATGAGCCATTTCTCATTAGCAATGAATCATTGTAACTAAATGTGTAACAATTCTAGAACCCAAGAATTGTATAATAAGATTTGGAGGAATCGTTCCAAGCACATTATACCAGCTCTACTGTGTATCAGTATTGTGTATATTACCACAAGGAATGTAAATGGAAAAGAGGGGCCAAGAGTGTAAGAGTGATCAGTAAGAAGGCGTCTTGTGATATCTTAGAGTTTTATTTGGCAGAAGTTGGCTACAGGTTAATGAAAGCTTATGCTGCATAAAACTTTTTGGTTTTTTAAAAGTGCCACAACGCTGTTCTCACTACAGTAGATAAATGCAGGTAGCCTCCAGGAAATGTCTGCTGTTTTACTAAACATTTGCTTCATTTGGAGAAATGCATTGTTGTGAAAAATTGCCTTTGTATGATATTTTGTACCAATATTTAGAGTCCTTAATTTTAGCTATAAACTGTCATTTGTATTTTTAAGATGTATTTTTAATACTCATATGAATTCCAAATCAGAAGCTGAAATTAAAAACTGACTTCTGCAATTATGCCACTATTGCATTAATATCTAACACATATTGTTTTGCACAGCTGATATTATGTTTAAAATGAGGCCACTAAATCTTCATTATCTGAAGTGTTGCCTAGTACATCTGAATTAGCTACATTAGCTTATTTTTAAAATGTATTTTTTTAAAATAGAAAATAAAAGTTCATTTTTACAGATACTTTGTTCCTGTTTATTCATTAAATCATATGAGTACAGTGGGGTCTTGACTTAAGAACGGCTCGAGTTAAGAACATTTTGACTTAAGAACCACTCTCATAGGAAAATATTGACTTGACTTACATACTTAGATTTGAGTTAAGAATTGAAAAAAACCCACATTGAAGGCAGGGAAAGTGCAAAATTTGAACTTTCAGTTAACTGTTGGCCAGTGAAAAGGGGGCCTGTCTGCTTCCTCACTCCTCCCAGCGTTTAGAGAGTGGATTGGGAGACAGTCTTCAGACTGCCTGGGACTGCCTGGACTGTATTTTCCCTGCCTTCCCTGAACCTTTCTTGACCTAAGAAAAAAAGAAACAAAATATTCCCCTCTAGTGGTCAAAGGCGGAATAGCAGCTTCCCATTAGGTTCTATGGACGGAAAAGAGCAGATACGGATCAAATGGTTTTCAATGCATTCCTATGGGAAATGCAGATTTGACCTGAGAACTTTTTGACTTGAGAACCACCTTCCAATACGGATTAAGTTCTCAAGTCAAGACCCCACTTTGTAATGGGATTCTTGAAGCTGTTCAATACCTTATAGAAGTGTGTTCTTGCTGATAATCATTAAGTGCAATCAAATCAATTCTGAATTATGGTGACCCTTTTCAGAGTTTTCCAGAGTATTCAGAAGTGGTTTACCATTTCCTTTTCTGGGGTGCCTTGGGACTTTGCAGCTTGCCCATGACTACATAGGCTGGTTCTACTTGCAGGAGGCACAGTGGGGAAGTCAAACTCCCATCCTCTGGATCCCCAGGCAGATGCCTAAACCATTGAGCTGTCTGGCAAGCAGTAATGCTCCACATTCTCATATTTTCTATGCACTGATAAGATGAAACCCTGTGTATATCTGTGTTGGACTCACTTCCTATATACCTACATGCTTATGTAGGTATTTATTTTTCAGTACATTCAGTAAATAGTATGATCCTGAAAAAAATGTGGCATAGGGCACAGGTGACTGCAGTGGAAAGGAGTAGATAATGTATTCTTCTATCAGTTTTCTTAAACTTATCCTAGCTGTCTCCAGCTTACAGTTTACCTCCTTTTTCTTTAACAACCAACAAGGATCCATAGAGAATTCCCACTCTCTCATAATAGTATTGATTTTGTGTCTATGGATTTGAATGTTGCCATGGTGATCGCACTGAAATCTGAACAGCACTTAATAAAAAGTCAGTCCCAATAAACACAATACATTTTGTGATCGGATTCTTTGTTGGTATCTGACAGTTCCTTGTTTTTGGCGCGAAACAACAGGAGAGGAGATTCTTTGAATAAATTTCTATTAACAAGACTAACAGGTTTTTCTATCACAACGTCAACAGGATCAATAGATTCACCATTAACTGGTAGGTCAGCCCACAACAAGGGCAACATGGTCTCGTAATTGTCTCTTTTAACAGGACTGACCGAAATGCTCCTGATCTGTCAGCCTTCTCAGATAGCCATTCCTTACCGCACAGATCATCCGTCAGCAAGGATGACGTGACCATTCTCCCTTGGAGGGCTTCTCGTGCGGTTGGACTGGTCCTGGTGGAATCACCCTCTTGCAGTGACCTCTTCCTTGTGGGTATACTAAAACTGTCCATTCCTCCAGTCCCAGCCCTTCAATTATTGGTTTCCCTTCTTCCACCTTTTTCTCTGTCTCTTTCGGACCACGGCTTTCAAAACACCTATTCCCTTTTGCTGGATTTGGAATGCTCTCGGTTCTCCTTCCCCTTTTATCCATTATTCTTCTAACACCACCACCTTTCTTGTCTCCCGATTCCTTTCCCTCCTCCAAAGTTAAGAAAAACATCTATGTCCTTTCTCTTTTCTGACTCCTCCCCCTTTTCCCACCTTTAACCCTTTCATCTTATAATTTTTGCAATCTCCTTTTTCAACTTCTCTTTTTCCTCTTTTACAAATGTTTAAGGGGACAGCTCACTCTCAATATAATTTTTGCAATCTCCTTTTTCAACTTTTTCCTCTTTTACAAATGTTTGAGGGGACAGCTCACTCTCACTTTTATATTTTCTTGCTCACACCTTTGCTTACATGTCATTACCGGCTTCTTCCAAAAAGCTGCATTGCCATCCCTGATTAATACATCAATGTGCACCAATTACTCCCAATACAGTGGTGGCAACTAAACAAAACCATGGACAAATGGCGTTCCATGTCTAGTCACACTGGCCACGTGACCATGAAGGATTGTCTGTGGACAAACGCTAGCTCTATGGGTTGGAAATGGGGATGAGTACCGCTGGCTAGAGTTGGACACGATTGGACAAAATTGTCAAGGGGAACCTTTACCTTTACCTTTGTTTAGCATGACAACCAAACGCAGCAGCAGCATTCTGGTTTGATTCCCTCCCAGCAAGCCAGGAAAAACAAGCTCCAAACTGTATATTCTTCTCTCTTGGGCTTGTTAGGGGAGAAGTAATCTATGTCACTGGGCCTTAAGCAACAAAATAAAGACCAAAGATCTGTAATTTGTTCAGTCACTCTTGCAGAAAATTGCATGGCAGCTCTCCATAAGTCAGAATCCTTGAGAATTCCAGCTAGTCATGACATGCTGAAACTTTCGTATGAATCTGTTTTGAAGTTATTTTCTTTATGGCAGACCTGAGCAAAGTGCAGCCCGAGGGCCACATACGGCCCGTGAGCTGCTCCTGTCCGGCCCGCCCATCGTCGCTCCAGTCCGGTGTTCAAGCACTTGTTCAAGCCCAAGACAGACTGGATTTCTCTCAGTGAACAAGCTGAGCATCAAAACCATTTATAGCTTTTTGTCTAAAGTTGATCAGTTACTTATCTTTAACATACCGCAAAAAAACTCTTTAATATTTGTGAAGATTAACAAGTTTAAAATAAAAACAATCATAACATCACAATTTCACTTTATTTTTAAGTAAAGTTGGTTCGGCCCCCGAACACAGTTCAGATTTTTTCATGTGGCCCCCTATAGAAATTAATTGCTCACCCCTGCTTTATGGCATATGAGTTGCCCCCTCTTGGATGTACACCATAATGGGAGCAGCTGGGAACAACACTAAACTGTGTTGCAAGTCCAGATTCTTTACAGGGCCACTGAAGATGAAATGTCCAAGCTAAGACACCAGAAGATGCATCCGAACTCTTCAGGAATTGATGGTACATCAGCAGAAAATAAATAATAGTTCCAATGGTGATGGCAGAGAAATAGAAGCGCAGCTATTGGGTAGCAACAGCAATGGAAGATAACTCTGGCAGAGGATATTTTCACGGACAATGGCAATGACTCTCAAGCTAATTTTTGCTGGTACTGCACACAAAAAGGCAATGGTAAGCCATTTTTGAAAACTTGATACCAAAGCTGTAACTACGATGGGGCAGAGATCTGAACCAGGATGCCAAAATATAGCGGGTGCAAAAATTTGCCGATGGAAGATGGCAAACATGCCTGTTGACATTTGCTGAAGAAAGGATGTGAACGCAGCTACCATTTCCAGCCTTGCCTACCAAGACAGACAGATATAGAGAACAGGTAGAGGCTCTGGGTGGAATTATTATGGTTGGTCACACAGGCAAACTCACCAGGCCTCCCATTCCCCCGTTCCTCTCCCTCTGTATGTCTTTCCACATGACCCCCGCTTAATCAAACAGGGCCTTTTACCTTGTCTTAGTTCTAACATCTCTGCAACAGCAATTCTGGGCACTGTGTCTGGCCTAATTTAATAGACGATGTTAGAGGGCGATTGGAAAGAATTGTGCAAATTACAAATTCTTCCAGATGAACAAAACTAACATTTTGCAAGGAGCAGAAATTTGGGGCTTTGACATGTAATTTCTACATTACATTTCTCCAGCCACCAAGAAAGCAGAATGAAGTAAGGTCCTAATTTGACGTTATTCTCACAAGACCGATCGAGTCTAACGGCAATGTCTCCATCCAGGCACACTTTCGATACCATCTCTTCACGCCTGGGAGAAAACAGGTCTAGAGCTCTGGCAGTCATAAAGCCATTGTAAAGTACAGTAAAAGTAGGCCTCGTCCTTCGCGTGGGGCGCATGTGCCTCCCAGAACCCTTCGCAGCATAAAAGGCGGAAGGAAAGCTCAACAATAAGAAGGGGAGGGAAGGTTACTCGTCTTCCCAGCAGCCTGCGCGCCTCCCTCCCTGTTCTCGAGGCGCCGCGTCTTTACGGGACTACGTTTCCCGTCGTGCCACTCGGCTTCAGCACTTAGGCGCCCAAGGCTGCTGCTCACACTTGGCCCGCTGGGAGTCGTAGTCTTCCGCCCTGTCGGGCGCTGTTCAGCGTTCGTGAGGGTGGTGCCACGGTGAGGATGTGGCGGGCGTGACGCGATTTTGTCCGCGTTGGAGCCGGGGCGGCTGTGACGTGGCAGAGAGAAAGCTCAAGAGCGAAGGCGAGAGCAGCGAGGCCGGGCCCTGTCGGACTTAAAACCAGCCCGCCTGCTGGAGGAAGAGGACGCCGCCGCCGTTGCCTTCCTCCGCGCTCGCTCAGTGGTTTGGGCGTTTCCGCGGCACCGAGAGTCGGCGGGAGAGGAAGGGAAGGGAAGGGAAGAGAAGAGAGAGACCGGGGCCCAAGTCGCTGCTTCTGCCTCCCCTTCTCCCCTCACACCGCGCTCGGCCCGCTCTCGCTGCCTCCGCTTCGCCCGGAGCCGCCATGGGCCTCACCATCTCCTCGCTCTTCTCGCGCCTCTTCGGCAAGAAGCAGATGCGCATCCTCATGGGTGAGACCGGCAGGGCACGGACACACACACACACACACACACACACACACAGAGAGAAAGAGAGAGGGAGGGAGGGGGGACCCAGAGGGATGGGCGCCTGCCTGCTCTCCCGCCCGCTTCCTTTTTTTCCCCTTCCCGGCCACCCAGCCTGCGGCGACCCCTCCCCGGGCCGAGCCGACGGGCAAAGGGCGGCGGGGGTGAGGC